CTTAGGGTCGTCGTAGTCATAGATGTCGTAGTCGTACTCATTGAGGAGCCGCTCGAAGTGCATCTTCATCTCGATCATCTTCTGCTCGACCTCCGTGACTCGGTCGAGCTGCTGCACGGCCACGCAGGCGGTCACGACGGACACGACCAGGGCCAGCAGACTCACGAAAGCTGCCATCCACGCCAGCCACTGCCGCCTGCCCTCTCCTGGGGGCGTGAGGACGGCGTACATCGGAGACTTCTCCATCGGGATGCTTAGGGGGCCGAGGGAGACCAGCGAGGGCTACTACAACTTGTCTCTAGCCTGGGAGATGCTGAGGTTTGGGTCTGCTTCGCCTGGGCTGCGACGGAGCGAGCGAGGCACCAGCGAACGAGCCAGCGAGGTTATGCGGTGGTGGAGTCCACGTGCGATTGGTGACGGCCGCGTGTGGGGACTGAGTGTGTGGGCACGGTCGCTACCCTCTACCAGTGTGGCCACGCGCGCACTGCCCTAGCGACGCCTCCTGCACGCTTATATCAACCCCTCCACGCACGCACGCACGCCCCCCACGCACACACCGGCAAGCACTGCATTGACATCTACACCCACGCTGGATGCACCACGCAAGCATCCAAATAGAGAGTGATGCCATTTCCATTCAACTTTCACATCAGCGAATCACTGGTATGATATTTCAAGGTCAGGCCCTCCCCTCCCCACCTGCGAGTTATCCTGGCACTCCACTGCGGGCCACGGCGGAGGTTCAGGAGCTCCGTGCCCTCGCATCCCTTACCCAGGTGCTGACAGGGCGGGCCGGGGGCTGATCTGCACGTAAACATTGGTCATGCTGACCTTCGCCATAGGTAATTAATTTAACGAGAGTAACATTATTGAAAGTAACTTGAGCTGCTGCTAACCTCGCCGCGATCAGCCAGTTCTCGGTGCCAGCGTTACATAACCCATAACAAGTTCTTTGGAAGTGGCCTTTGTGATGGCCACCAGGAGAGTATATTAATCCGTGACAGCTTGTCAGATAACTGGCTGACTCTACGCCTCCTCTGACATTTCATTTTGACACATAGCACGCCTCCATTTTTTCTCTTACAGACGAATCAATTGACACTAATTCATTCCTTTTAACTCATAAAAGAAAAGTGATCCACATTCCTCAGTGAGCATGTATATAAATAAACACTCAGGGTGACTCATCCTTCATTCACAGAACTGTAAAATTAAGCATGAAAGGCTAATGAGAATCAAAGAAACGCCATCCTCTCGTGACGTTAAAGCTGGTGTATCGGAATTCCTCGGGACTTAGGAACAAAAACGATCACAGACGTCGCTTTAGTATCTCCATGCATACCTCGACTCGTTTTGGCCAGTGCATACGTACATACAAACAACAATACATATAACAATAAGAGCTACAGCAAATTAGCAACAACAACAATGATCAGTACAACAACAAATCAACAACAACAAAAAGAACAACACATCTACAACCCCAACAACAATAGTAAGAATAACAGTAAAAAAAACAAGAGCAATACTTGGTAAGATACCAAGAATATGAATTTGTAAAAATCAGTCCGTACAAAATATTGGAAAATATGTACGTATCAAGAAGAAAAAAAACATTGTGGAGCACGGAGCCAGAGGGGAGGGGGAGGGGGAGGGTGGAGAGGAGAGGGAGGACATAAAAAAAAGAGGAAGAGGAAGGGGTGGCCGGAGGGGGAGAGGGGTGGGGGGAGCAGAGGGCAGAAAGGGGAGAGGGGAGTGAGGGTAGGGTGGTGGGAGGCCGGAGAGGGAGGGGAGAGATAGGAGGAAAGGAAGGGAAGAGGGGAGGATAATTGAAGGGTAGGGGAGAGAGGGGGAGAGGGAAGAGGGGAGGGTAATAGGAGGGTAAGAAAGAGAGGAGAAGGGGAGAAGGGAGAAGGGGAGAAGGGAGAAGGGAGAAGGGAGAAGGGGAGAAGGGGAGAAGGGAGAAGGGAGAAGGGAGAAGGGGAGAAGGGGAGAAGGGGACTGGAAGAGGACTGATAAAGGGGAGAGGGAAATCTGAGGGAAAGGGGTCATAATCATAAACATAGAGGGGAAGACAGAGATATAGTGACATTGACCAAATAGTGAGAAGACGAGTGTGATGATAGACTAAGGAAAGAGATAAGAGGAGAGACTAAGGAGGAAAAGAAGAGAAGAGAATGGAAAGATAGGGGGTAGGGGGGGTGGGGGAGATTATAACAGCTTCCGTACCAAGAATCACGCAACGTCAACAGCTCCTGCGCTCACGTCAAAAAGGGGGGGAGGGGAGGGGGTATCGCAGCCACACGGGGAACGTAAAGAATATGGCCTAGAAATAAGACACACAAACGGACAGATGGTGACCCTGAGTGGCTCCTCAACACCCCCCTCCCCCCCCTCCCTCCCCCACCACACTACTCCCTTCACCCTCCGTCCCCTTGCAACCTTCTCCCGTTTTCATTCTCTTTCCCCCCCCCCCGCTTTCTTTTTCCTCTTTTATTTTATTTCTATTTTTTTTTTCCTTAGTTTTATTCCTTTCTTACTTTCCTTTTTTCTTTTTTTTTTTTTACTTTGTTGTTATTCACATTTCGTTCTCTCTCTCTCTCTCTCTCTCTCTCTCTCTCTCTCTCTCTCTCTCTCTCTCTCTCTCTCTCTCTCTTTCCCATCCTTCGCATTTTGCCTCCTCTTCTCTTCTCTTTCTTCTTCTTTTTGCCCTCCTCCATCTCCGCTTTTTATTTTCCTGTCTCTCTTCTTTCTCCTCCTCCTCTTCATCATCATCGCCATCATCATCTTCCCTTATTCATTTTTTCTCTCTTTCCTCCTCCTCCTTCTTCTCTCCTCCTCTTCCTTTCCTTCCTTCCTTCTACGGCTTTCTTATTCTCCTTCTCTACCTATATTCCTTCTTCCTTCTTGATTCTCCTTGTCTCCCTTATTTTCCTCTCCTCTTACCCCTTTCCACTTCCCCCCTCCCTTCACCTGCCCTCCCCTTCCCCTCTACCCCTCCTCCCCCCTTGTCCTCCCCCCCTCTTCCTCTCCCTCCCCTTTTCCTCCTTCTCATTCAACCTCCCTCTTCCCCCTCTTCTTCTTCCCTCTCCCTTCCCCTTCCTCCTCCCTCCCTCCCACATATCATTCTCTTCAAGGCGTTCTCATCCTCCTCCACCTCCCCCCCCCCTCTGGTAACCCATCCACCCACGCTCACGCATTCACCCCCCCACCCCCGCCTTCCTTCTTCATCTTCTTCCTCCTCCTCCTCCTCCATCGCTTCTCCTCCTCCTCCTGCTCCTTCCATTCCTCCTCCTCCTCCTCCTCCTCCCTTTCCACCTCCTCCTCCACCGCCTCTCACCCCCCCGGCCCCCATTTCCCACCCCACCCCCTCTCCCTCATTCTTCTCCCCCGTCTCTCCCTTCTAACTCCTCTCCCTCGCCTCCTCTCTCCCTCCTCATTCCCTTCTCCCTCTCCTCCTCTCTTCCTCTCCTTGATCCTTTTAATTGCCCTCTTTCCCATCTCCACCTCTCCCTCCCCTCTCCATCTCCTCCCCCCACCATCCCTCCCTTCCCCCCCTTCTCCTCACACCCTCTCCCTCCCCCAAGCACTCCCCCTCCCACCTCTTCATCCACGCCCTCCCGTTCCCACCTCCTCCCCCACGCCCTCCCTTTCCCACCTCCTCCTCCACGCTCTCCCTTTCCACCTCCTCCCCCTCCCCCCTCCTCCGCTATTCTCCCTCCCTCTCCACCTCCCCCCCCACCATCCCTCCCTCTCCCCTCTCCTCCCCCCTCCTCCTCCTCCCTACGCCCTCCCCCCCTCCCTCTTCACTTCCTCCTCTACCATCTCCCTCTCCATCAACCTCCCCTACCCCCCCCCCCCCCCCCCCTCCCTCCCCATCGCCCATACCCCCCCCCCCCCCCCCTCTCCTTCTAAGAACCTTTTTACACGCTCTGATGTTGACGCTAATTATCACCGCCACGTTGATCAGTTTGTCTGTTTGTCTTAATATCTGTCTATCTATCTATCTTAATGTCTGTCTATTTGACTGTCTTAATGTATCTGTCTATCTATCTCAATGTCTGTTTATCCGACTGCCAATGTCTGTTTACCCGACTGTCAATGTCTGTTTATCCGACTGTCATGTCTGTCTATCTATCTGTCTGTCTGCTGTCTGTCTATCTATTGGTTGGCCAAAAATTCAGGCTTTAAGACCAATGGCCTAAATTTCTTTCAATTCGTTGGTCTGTTAAACTGTCGGTTTGTTTTTCCGTCGATCTGTTTGTCTACCGGTTTGTCTATCGGTCTGTCGATTTGTCTACCGGTCTGTCTATCGGTCTGTCGATTTGTCTATTGGTCTGTTTATTTGTCTATCGGTTTGTCTATAGCACTATCTATTGGTCTGTCGATCTGTCTATTGGTGTCATTTTATCTGTCTATCTGTCCTTTTGGTCCATCTGTCTGTTCGGTCTGTCGGTCACGTCGAGGCTGCCGTGTCGTGCTGGTCGTGTTCGTCGGTCTTTCGGTCTTTCGGTCCTTCGGCCCTTCGGTCTTTCGGTCGTTCGGTCTTTCGGTCATTCGGGTTTTCGGTCGTTCGGTCCTTCGGTCCTCCGGTCCTTCGGTCTTTCGGTCATTCGGTTTTTCGGTCCTTCAGTCTTTCGGTCCTTCGGTCGTTAGGTCTTTCGGCACTTCGGCCCTCCGGTCGTTCGGTCTTTCGCTCCTTCAGTCTTTCGCTCCTTCGGTCTTTCGGTCCTTCGTTCTTTCGCTCCTTCAGTCTTTCGGTCCTCCGGTCTTTCGGTCGTTCGGTCTTTCGGCCCTTTGGTCTTTCGGTCGTTCGGTCTTTCGGTCATTCGGTCGTTCGGTCTGGGTGATGAATGGCCTGTTGATTGAGCGATGGTGGCGGGGCTTTTCCTCACCTTCTTGGGGCAAGATTTATTTGTACTCCGGCGTTTGTTGTTTGTTCTTGTTCACTTGTTTGTTTATTCTTGTTTCTTTGTTGTTTGTTTGTTTTTGTTCGCTTGTTTGTTGTTTGTTTGTTCTTGTTCGCTTGTTGTTTGTTTGATCTTGTTCGTTTGTTTGATCTTGTTCGCTTGTTTGTTCTTGTTCGCTTGTTTGTTTGATCTTGTTCGTTTGTTTGTTTGTTCTTGTTCGCTTGTTGATTCTTCTTGTTCGCTTGTTGTTTGTTTGATCTTGTTCGTTTGTTTGTTTGTATGTTCTTGTTCGCTTGTTTGTTTGATCTTGTTCGTTTATTTGTTCTTGTTTGTTTGTTCTTGTTCGCTTTTTGATGGTTTGTTCATGTTCGCTTGTTTGTTTGATCTTGTTCGTTTGTTTGTTCTTGTTTGTTTGTTCTTGTGTGTTTGTTCATGTTCGCTTGTTGTTTGTTTGATCTTGTTCGTTTGTTTGTTCTTGTTTGTTTGTTCTTGTTTGTTTGTTCTTGTTCGCTTGTTCTTGTTCGCTTGTTGTTTGTTGGATCTTGTTCGTTTGTTTGTTCTTGTGTTTGTTCGTTTGTTTATTCTTGT